GTCGTTGTCCCCAGTGTCCCCAACACCCCAGTAACGGTGTCCCCAGTGTCCCCAACACCCCGGTGAGGGTGTCCCCAGTGTCCCCGCCCCCTTGTCCCCGTGTCCCCCCCGGTGACCCTGTCCCCTGTCCCCAGGCCGGGCGCAGGAGGTGCAGGCGGAGAACGTGACGGTGCTGGAGGGTGGCACGGCCGAGATCACGTGTCACCTCCACCAGTACGACGGCTCCATCGTCGTCATCCAGAACCCGGCCCGGCAGACCCTCTTCTTCAACGGCACCCGCGGTGAGGGGACACGGGGGGACACGGGGGGTGGCCCTGGGGGCCTCAGGGTGGTCATAGGTCCCCTGTGGTGGCCATGGGGACCTTGGAGTGGCCATAGAAGCCCTGTGGTGGCCCTATGGTGGCCATGGGGTGGCCATGGGGTCCTCAGGGTGGCCGTAGAAGCTCTGTGGCGGCCATGGGGACGTTGGGGTGGCCATAGAAGCTCTGTGGTGGCCTTATGGTGGCCATGGGGTGGCTGTAGGATCCCTATGGTGGCCTTATGGTGGTCATGGGGCGGCCATGGGGACGTTGGGGTGGCCGTAGAAGCTCTGTGGTGGCCATGGGGTGGCCCTAGGATCCCTGTGGTGGCCCTATGGTGGCCATGGGGTGGCCGTAGGGGCCCTGTGGTGCCCATGGGGACCTTAGGGTGGCCGTAGAAGCCCTGTGGTGGCCATGGGGTGGTAGTAGAAGCTCTGTGGTGGCCATGGGGACCTTGGGGTGGCCATAGGTTCCCTGTGTTGGCCATGGCGTGGCCATGGGTACCTTGGGGTGGCCATAGGGGCCCTGTGGTGGCCATGGGGACCTTAGGGTGGCCATATGATCCTTGTGGTGGCCCTATGGTGGCCATTTGGTGGCCATGGGGATATTGGGGTGGCCGTAGGGGCCCTGTGGTGGCCCTGGAGACCTTAGGGTGGCCATAGAAGCCCTGTGGTGGCCATGGGGGGTGACCATGGGGACCTTAGGGTGGCCCTAGGATCCCTGGGGTGGCCCTGTGGTGGCCATGGGGACCTTGGGGTGGCCGTAGGGACACTGTGGTGGCCTTATGGTGGCCATGGGGTGGCAGTAGAAGCCCTGTGGTGGCCACGGGGACCTTAGGATGGCCATAGGATCTCTGGGGTGGCCCTGTGATGGCCATGGGGGCCTTGGGGTGGCCATAGGATCCTTGTGGTAGCCCTATGGTGGCCATGGGGACCTTGGAGTGGCCATAGAAGCCCTGTGGTGGCCCTATGGTGGCCATGGGGTGGCCATAGGGGCCCTGGGGTGGCCATGGGGACCTTGGGGCAGCCGTAGAAGCCCTGTGGTGGCCATGGGGTGGTAGTAGAAGCCCTGTGGTGGCCCTATGGTGACCTTGGGGTGGCCATAGGAGCCCTGTGGTGGCCATGGAGTGGCCATGGGGACCTTGGGGTGGCCGTAGGGGCACTGTGGTGGCCATGGGGACCTTAGGGTGGCCATAGGATCCTTGTGGTGGCCATGGGGTGGCCACAGGGATTTTGGGGTGGCCGTAGAAGCCCTGTGGTGGCCATGGGGTGGCCATGGGGACCTTGGGGTGGCCCTAGAAGCCCTGTGGTGGCCATGGGGACCTTGGGGTGGCCATGGGTTGGTTGTGGGTGGCCATGGGGTGGCTGTGGGTGGCCACAGGGTCTCATGGGTGGCCATGGGGTCCCATGGGTGGCTGTGGGGTGGCCGTGTCCCCTGTGGGTGACCCCCGTGTCCCCCCCAGCCCTGAAGAACGAGCGGTTCCAGCTGGTTGGTGGCCATGGGGTCCCCATGGGTGGCCGTGGGGTGGCCGTGGGGTGGCTGTGGGTGGCCGTAGGGTCCCATGGGTGGCTGTGGGACCCCGTGGGGTGGTTGTGGGACCCCATGTCACCCCATGTCACCCGTGGGTGACCCCCGTGTCCCCCCCAGCCCTGAAGAACGAGTGGTTCCAGCCGGTTGGTGGCCATGAGGTCTCCATGGGTGGCCGTGGGGTGGCTGTGGGTGGCTGTAGGGTCTCATGGGGGGCTGTGGGACCCCGTGGAGTTGTTGGGGGGTCCCATGGGTGGCCGTGGGGTGGCTGTGGGTGGCTGTAGGGTCTCATGGGGGGCTGTGGGACCCCGTGGGGTGGTTGTGGGCCCCCATGTCACCCCATGTCACCCGTGGGTGCCCCCCGTGTCCCCCCCAGCCCTGAAGAACGAGTGGTTCCAGCCGGTTGGTGGCCATGAGGCGGCCATGGGGTCCCCATGGGTGGCCATGGGGTGGCTGTGGGGTCCCTATGGGTGTCTGTGGGACCCCGTGGAGTTGTTGTGGGGTCCCATGGGTGGCCGTGGGGTGGCCGTGTCCCCTGTGGGTGACCCCCGTGTCCCCCCCAGCGCTGAAGGATGAGTGGTTCCAGCTGGTTGGTGGCCATGGGGTCCCCATGGGTGGCCATGGGGTGGCTGTGGGGTCCCTATGGGTGTCTGTGGGACCCCGTGGAGTTGTTGTGGGGTCCCATGGGTGGCCGTGGGGTGGCCGTGTCCCCCGTGGGTGACCCCCGTGTCCCCCCCAGCGCTGAAGGATGAGTGGTTCCAGCTGGTTGGTGGCCATGGGGTCCCCATGGGTGGCCATGGGGTGGCTGTGGGTGGTCATGGGTGGCCGTGGGGTCCCATGGGTGGCTGTGGGACCCCGTGGGGTGGCCGTGGGGTGGCTGTGGGTGGCCATGGGGTCCCCATGGGTGGCCATGGGGTCCCCATGGGGGGCCCATGGGTGGGACTCACCCCCCCCGTGGGGGACCCCCGTGTCCCCCCCAGCGCTGAAGGATGAGTGGTTCCAGCTGGTTGGTGGCCATGAGGTGGCCATGGGGTCCCCATGGGGGGCCCATGGGTGGGACTCACCCCCCCCGTGGGGGACCCCCGTGTCCCCCCCAGCGCTGAAGGATGAGTGGTTCCAGCTGGTTGGTGGCCATGAGGTGGCCATGGGGTCCCCATGGGTGGCCGTGGGGACCTTAGGGTGGCTGTGGGTGGCCATGGGGTCCCATGGGGTGGCCGTGGGGTGGCTGTGGGTGGCTGTGTTGTCCCTATGGGTGGCCATGTGGTCCCATGGGTGGTTGTGGGACCCCGTGGGGTGGCCGTGTCCCCCGTGGGTGACCCCCGGTCCCCCCCAGCCCTGAAGGACGAGCGGTTCCAGCTGGTGGGGGGCCATGGGCGG